AGGCTGCCTGCTCATTTACAGGCTTGGAAACGCTAAGGAACACTTCTGCTCTGTCCTGGTGGATTGCTGTGAGTCGGGATAGACTTGGCGGCAGTGGGTTTGATGATAATGGTTAGCAAAAGGGGGGGAGGAACCCCAAAACTCTTCCAAAGAGACTGGGGCATGTCTTGCATACACCATCTTATTCAATCCTCCGTCTCAAACAATCTCACCACAAAACCACTGTAGTGGAAAGCTTCATCTTTCTCCCAGAGAGTGGCTGGTGGTTTCGAACTGCTGACCTTTCGGTGAGCGGGCTAACTTGTAACCCACTCCGCCACCAGGGCCCAGAAAAATTTGAGGTGAGAGACACTTAGTTGAAAGACTTGTTCTACCTTTCAGTCCTTCAATGACCGTGGGCAGAAAACATGGTTCCTTTGCATCTCCATTCCCTCTTTGGCAAAACGGAAATGCTTTCTTTTATATCCAACGATGGAATAAATACTATAGATAAAATAATTAAAATAAATAGTTAAGAAGCTCCGAAGGACCATATAGATGGTCAACACATATTGGATCTGTAGCCTATCATATTCTTTATCATCTCTCTGCCCATCTAATGGACCTGGACCATCCTTTGCATCTGCCCCAGGTATACTGCGGCCGAGAGGACAGAAGGGCCCTTCTGGGTTACTTCCCGAACCACAGACTCCACGAGACGCAACACCAGATTTGCACATCGTCGATTGCCACTCACTGATCTTTGAACACTCACCAGATGCCAGGCTCGGTCCCCCATCATGATGGCGCAAGCGGGCATTCTTGCCTTCGAAGAAAAACACGGACATCCAACTAAGGACAAGCTGCATTCCCTTGTCGCCCGCAGGCAAAGAACAATGGGTGGGAGAGTCTCACATGTGTGCCCTTGTCCTCTTAATTGAGCCACCGAAGTTGCCCTCCCACAAATTTTCTCAGTTCCGTGTGCTTTTTTTCTTTCTCTCTCTTGTTGCCTTTTTTTTTATGGTGGTAAAATGCATATCACAAAACAAACAAACAAACAAAATGCATATCACATAAAATTGCCTGCTTAACCATTTCTAGGTGTAGAATTCAGTGGCATTAGAGTACACTCCCAATCTTGTGCAATCCACCATTACCACCATCTAGTTCCGGAACTTTCTTTTTTTT